TTGGACTGGACCCACCTGTCCAGTTATCAGCACATCACAAATCTCTCCTCCCCCCCCAGGTGTGCAATGGTTGCTTATTTCTAGACATTCCTTGAGGGATATAGTCACGTTTCAATCCAGGTTTCTATCTAGTTTTCACACTGAAGAAGGGCATTGAACTGCTGGATAGCTCAGTGGTTATGTCTGTGGAGCCAGAGGTTGGGAGTTCGATTCCCCTGCTGGGCCTCCTTGACAGGGGCTGGGTTCCATGATCCAGAGGGTCCTTTCCAGATCTGCAGTTCTAAGATGATGATGATGATGATGACGACGACTAGGATGACTGTCTCATCACAAAACTTTGGGGCAGTCTAGGGAAGTCTATCCACCAAGTTGACCAAGGATGTTTCAGTGACCTACTTATAGGACTGTAACTTCTTTCGTCATGGGTCACCATGGTGGATGATCTTTCCTGTGTGGTAACAGGGCAAATGTGATTCCAGAGGGCCCCATGTCAGTGTTTTTTATTTGGGGAGGGGGTTATAAGGAAGGATGCTGTTGCATTCATGTCTTGCTTCTAGGGTGCCCAAAGGCTGGCTATGCTACTTACAGAATGTTGGACTCCATAAATCTTTGGCTTAATCCAGTAGGATTTTCCTTGTGTCTTGTGTGTTGTCAAGTCACTTCCAACTTACATTGACCCTAGAGAGACTTCTTGGTATGTCAGATGTTCAAGGAATGATTTACCATTGCCATCCGTTAGTGAACATCCATGGTGAAGCAGGGACTTGAACCCATGTCGGACACTCTATCCACTGCACAACGTTGCCACTCGGGGTCCTTCTTACAATCTGATGTTTCTAATACTGTTCACAAAGGTTTGTTTAGGGACACAGGATGGTAAACGGATGTGTATTGTCCACCAGTGGTCCTTTTCCTCTTTGGTAAAGTCAGTTTCGCAGCCAACATGACTTTGACCCAACTCTGGGAGGCAGTGGAAGACAGGAGGGCCTGGTCCGTGGGGTCATGAAGAGCTGGACACAACTAAACAACAACAAAGTCAGTTTCAAAGGTTGAGGACTGGCAGTTTCTCTCTCCTAATGTTTTGACGTTTATGTGGTAGCGTACCAGAGGAATCCACCTTCTGCTTCATGCTATTCGACACCTACTGTATGTCAGTTTAATTACCAGGAGAGGTCATTTGGAGGTTTCAGGTGAGGCGTCATCGGTATACTGATGACATCCACCTCTACCTGTCTTGATCACCTGGTCTTAAGTGAGGCAGGAGATGGCATGACTTGGTGTCTTTGTTAAGTCATTGAAACTTTTCATTCTACGGTCTATGGTGACATCAAAAAATCAAGCTAAGGTGGTATATATTCTGACAATAAGCATACCCTAGGGCGCTAAACAGCTGCCTTTGCTAGCTGTGTGATGATTCTTATAAAAAATATTTAATTAACATATTTGTTTAAAAAAGACAACGAGGCAGGAACATGACGATTGCTCAGCAAATGACATAACTAGATTGACTTTGAACAGAAATAATTGTGGAACACAGCTGCCGGAGACTGGCGAGAGATTCAGAGTAGACAGAAGGAAGTATGCTTAGAAGATTCTAGACCTGGGATGGCGGGTCGGGTCGTTGAATGATTTCGGCTTCTGGCTGTGGAGCCAGAGGTTGGGAGTTCAATTCCCCACTTGTGCTGCCTTGTGAGAAGAGCCAGCCTGGGTGGCCTTGGGCAAGCTGCACAGTCCCAGGGCTCCCCCTAGAGGAAGAGAAGGGTAATGCACTTCTCTCTAGGTGGAAAATTCTGAGAAGTGTTGCCATAAGTAAAAAAAAATGACTTGATGGCATTCAAGTTAGGATAGCTCAGTGATTTGGAGCTCTGGAACCAGAGGTAGAGAGCTTGAACCCCTCTCTCAAACTCCTGGAAGAGCAGCCAATCAAGACCATTCAATGCTCTGCCCCCTTTGTAACCTTGGTTGAGCGGCATTGTCCTACAATGTCAGAAGGAGGAGGCAATGGCGGGGGATACTTTTTTAAACCACCAAAGAACCACAAACATTAGCTAGCTTTCAACCACACATGGGGCTTCATCAGGCTGTCCAACACACAACGGAGGGTGGTGCAGAAAAAGAACTCACAGAAGTTCCAGTCATAAAGGCTGGGTGTACATGATCTCACCAGTGGCATGTGTCCCACAATCGGTGGGGGTGCCGGTGCATATAGAGGCTAGAGAGACAGTGGTATGTAGGGGTTAGAGCATTGGACTGAAGCTTTGCAGAATCCAGCTAAGTGTCCCCACCGATGATGATGATGATGATGAAATTTGGGATAGCTTAGTGATTTGGAGCTGTGGAGCCAGAGGTAGAGAGCTTGAACCCCCTTCTCAAATGCCTAAAAGAGCAGCCAGTCAAGACCATTCAATGCTCTGCCCCCTTTGTAACCTTGGTTGAGCAGCATCGTCCTAGCATGCCAGAAGTAGGAGACAAGGGTGGGTGATACTTTTTTAAACCACCAAAGAACCACAAACATTAGCTAGCTTTCAACCACACATGGGTCTTCATCAGGCTGTCCAACACACAACGGAGGATGGTGCAGAAAAAGAACTCACCGAAATGCCAAAGATAAAGGCTGGCTGTACATGGTCTCACTAGTGGCATGTGTCCCACAATTGGTGTGGGTGCCGGTGCATGTAGCGGCTAGAGGGACAGAGAGATGTAGGGGTTAGAACATTGGACTGAAGCTTTGGAGAATCCAGCTTTGTGTCCCCACCAAGCGATGACAATCATTGGCCAGGAACTTAACCCACAGAGTTGTGAGAGGAGAACGGGGAGGAAGAGAAGCTTGTATGCTCCTTTCAGCATCTCGTTGCAGGAAAAGCATGGTATAAGTATGCCTACACGTTTTGTCACAAGCTTAGTCATCCCGACAAAAGCAAATCACATCAATTACTTGAGAATTTCTGATCTAGTTCATTCGCTCAGTTGCTCCCCAAACCACGATGGCTGCCCTTGGGACTGTTTCATCGTTTCAGCGACTATTTTGAATTAAATTACACAAGGGGGAAAATGAGGGAAATTACACATGGCAGGTAGAATTCCTTTTGGCCACCTATTTAGGGAGTCACCGTGTGATGCAAAAGCTGAAACCAGTTCCTTGACAGGCCTCCATTGCTACTATGCATTCTGGCACGACGGAGCAATGAACACATATAGTCTGTGTGATTTCCCCAATAGAGCAGGTTCCTTTTCCTTGATTTCCTGGAACTGATGTGCAAACGCAGATGAGGTACGTAATTCCCCTCTTGTTTATGGGATCGTAGTCATAGATGGGAAAAGTTATTTTCTGAGCTACAGCTCCCAGTGGCATCGTGGTTCTATCTCTGCTTCTGATACAGGGAGTTCTTACGGTTCTAAGTGGAGGGAAAGGTAAAGAATTAAAAACAAATAAAAACAAAAAATGGACAGAGTTCAAAGACTGCATGAGAGTGTCATGGCACGCGTTAAACTGCAGTCCTGCAGTCGAGACTCTGCTCGTTGCAGGAAAAGCAGCGACTATTTTGAATTAAATTACACAAGGGAGAAAAATGAGGGAAATTACATATGGCAGGTAGAATTCCTTTTGGGCAGCTATTTACGGATCATCTTCATGGGAGTCACCATGTGATGCAAAAGCTGAAACCAGTTCCTTGACAGGCCTCCATTGCTACTATGCATTCTGGCACGACGGAGCAATGAACACATATAGTCTGTGTGATTTCCCCAATAGAGCAGGTTCCTTTTCCTTGATTTCCTGGAACTGATGTGCAAACGCAGATGAGGTACGTAATTCCCCTCTTGTTTATGGGATCGTAGTCATAGATGGGAAAAGTTATTTTCTGAGCTACAGCTCCCAGTGGCATCGTGGTTCTATCTCTGCTTCTGATACAGGGAGTTCTTACGGTTCTAAGTGGAGGGAAAGGTAAAGAATTAAAAACAAATAAAAACAAAAAATGGACAGAGTTCAAAGACTGCATGAGAGTGTCATGGCACGCGTTAAACTGCAGTCCTGCAGTCGAGACTCTGCTCGTTGCAGGAAAAGCATGCAATTTAATTATCCAGGCTACATATTGGCCTTCCCGGCAAGGTGGGCACTTGTTTGACTGACCTTGGAAGAACGGAAGGCTGAGTCGACCTCAAGCCGGCTACTGGAACCACTGAGATCAAACTCAGGTTGTAAGCAGAGTCTTGGCTGCAGGACTGGGGTTTAATCACTGTGCCACAAGGTTTGTTCAATGGTTGGGACTAGCAATGGACTACTGGCCAATGTGACTTACTTCTAAACAGAGAAATTTTGGAGTGAGGAATATCCCGCCCCCCCATCCCAGTCCACTGACCATCCCTGGATTGTGCAATATCTTACCTATTTTTGAGAAGCAAAGACGTGGATGAAAAATGTACAGGAACATATTCAGGTTGAAAACTAGATTACAAGGCATCTTTTGATCTCTAATTTAGTACCATTCTGGCCAAACTACAATGTACTGTAGTTATAAATTATAATCTTAGCACTGCAGAGCTGGAAAGAAAGTCACGGAGGCCCAGTGGCTATCAACGTGACATTCACATCTTATTTCCATTCCTGAAGGGACATTAAAAAGGGCAAAGTGGAAGAGAAATGCGTGCAAAATAAAAAACAATAAAATTTAAGAATATGGTTTGAAATCACAAGCTCTTTACTGTTTTCCCATAAAAGCTGAGTTTCCAGCCTCCCCTTGGTTGACACCCAACCCAGTGTGTTGCACTACAAGTCCCATCATCCAGGTGGGGAAAAATATTTACACTTAGACTTTTCCTCCCAAGTGGGAACTTTTAAATTTCAGCTAAAGCATTTTGCTGGAAGCTGTAGGAACTCTAATGGAAGCAACCTCATTTCTGTGCTCTCCGGCTGTGGTTTCACCATTGTGTCTTCTATGCGTATCATATACTGAAGCAAAAGCTTGTATGAAGGTGCTAATGGTCACATTGATGCTCCTTAGGTTTGCAAGATGACAGTGACCTCAAATTCCTCCTGAGAGGGTGCCATTTGCTGAAAATCAAGTCTACGTCATGGAGGAGGGAGAGGTTTTACAAGCTTCAGGAAGACTGCAAGACAATATGGCAGGAATCCAAGAAAATGTTGAGATCCCCGGAATCACAGCTCTGTAAGTGCTTAACCATTCCAACAAGTTTGTGGTAAAGGGGGTCAGGGTTGAGAAGGTCGTGGCCTCGTCAGTGGGACGTCTGTATTTTCCTTTTGGCTTTTGTGGTGACCAGCAATCAGGGTGCGGATCTTTTCCCCGCCATTTCTTCATTGCTGTGAAAACTCTGGAAATAAGTGGTTGAAAATCTACTTATCCAAGAAAATGTTGATATCCCCAGAATCACAACTCTGTAAGTCCTTAACCCATTCGAACAAGTTTGTGGTAAAGGGGGTCAGGGTTGAGAAGGTCGTGGCCTCATCAGTGGGACATCTGTATTTTCTTTTTGGCTTTTGTGGTGACCAGCAACCAGGGTGCGGATCTTTTCCTCGCCATTTCTTCATTGCTGTGAAAACTCTGGAAATAAGTGGTTGAAAATCTACTTGTCCACCGATTTTGTTCTCTTCTTCTAGCACTGGGTTCAAAAAATTGGTTTTTGTGTTCTACCAAATTGTGTGGATGCTGGGATTTCTCATGGCAGGAACTAGCTAAGGCATTCTAAGGTTATATTTAGAGATGGGTCTGGACTTGGGAAATGGTGGTTCGCAAGGGTTTGTGGTGAGCCACGAGCCACGAATCATCGTGAACCAACGAGAAAACCGAACCAGTTCGTGGTTCAGTTTTCGGTTCATGCCGGGGGTGGGGGGGAGTCAGGAGTCATGATCAGGTGGGGAGGCGACAAAGGCTGCAGGCAGGGGGGTGCGCAGACTCCATTTTGCCAAAGAAAAATGAAGCGGTCAGCAGAAAAAAAAGTTTTGCGCTTTGTTTCGTTTCGGCAAAATGGGTTGCACAAACCGAACCATGAACCAACCCGGTTCGTAGCTTTTTCCGGTTCATCGTTAGGTTTGGGACCATCTCTAATCTTTCTTTAAAGTTTAGCAATGTGATGAGTTAAGTTGCAGATCAACCTGTGAATAACACTTATTCACCTTTTTAAGTTCAGTGAACTAGATGTCAAAGATTTAGCGTTAACTTTTTAATTGATCACTTGTGTTTCTAGCCTCTAGGGTTGTTAAACAATTCAGAGTTGGAAATTCTCGCTGATCATCCTGCCAGCTAACCTTGCAATTCATGCCTAGCTTTGCTGAGTGCCCAGCCCTGACTATATAACGAAGTCTAGGTAACACTGAGTTGCAAAGCAAATATGGGTGTGTCTTTGAAAAAGGAAAAAAAAAAAGAAAGAGAGAGAGAAGTATATTTATTTCAGGAAACAGGACTTGAGCACATACAGTGCATGAAAGATTTATCTGAGCCTTTCCTTCCTAAACTGGCTTGTCAGGGATTTGCTGGAATTTTTTTGCAGATACCGAGTGGTTTCCATTTAATTTTATTCCAAAGTTACTGCCAGAGATAGAGATTGTGACAGAGACTTCTCAAGAAACACATTTCTCAGAGTGATTGCCAGCGTTAACACTACAAATGTACATTAAAAAAAGCAAAGATTTATCTGAGCCTTTCCTTCCTAAACTGGCTTGTCAGGGATTTGCTGGAATTTTTTTGCAGATACCGAGTGGTTTCCATTTAATTTTATTCCAAAGTTACTGCCAGAGATAGAGATTGTGACAGAGACTTCTCAAGAAACACATTTCTCAGAGTGATTGCCAGCGTTAACACTACAAATGTACATTAAAAAAAGCATTGGTGATTTGGTGACATTTGGTCACATAGAAGGGTAGGAATTTAAATTCTTTTTTCCCTTAAAATTCAGTATTTTAAGTCCCTCATCCTTCTTGTCCGAGAGGAAAGATTAGGAAGAGGGGATCATCCACTCTAAAGGATGATTGCTTTCATCTTTAAATGTCTTGATTTGCAAGTAAGTTTTGATATGTATTTTGGGGATGTAATGTAAGTATCACAACATACTGTGTAAACCATGCTAAGTCAATGAAGGGAGCTTTCAGGGCGTTGGCTGTAGGCTCCGCTGGCTCAGACATCCATTGTTGACTCCTCTTTGTTCTTTCTCTAAGGCAATTAGCCTTCCTTTGTTCCGTGATCACCCACAATAATTCAGCAGCAACAACATCATCTTAGAACTGCAGAGCTGGAAGGGACCTATGGATGATGGTGTCCCTGCCCTAGCAGGCGTGATCACCCACAATAATTCAGCAGCAACAACATCGTCTTAGAACTACAGAGCTGGAAGGGACCTATGGATGACGGAGTCTCTCCCGTATCAGGGAGGCATTGTGGGGAATCGAACTTCCAACCTCTGGCTCTGCAGCCAGAGACCTAAACCACCAAGCTATCTAGTTCTCTGGTCGTTCACTCCCTTTCCGCTTGACCAGCATCACAGGGTTGTTTTGAAAACCCAACTGGGGAGGAGAACAATGCAGCTTAGTGTGAGCTTAGTTCGGGTTTAATTCATCCGATGCAATGTAAGCAAAGGATTTTGCTTGACGGCTGTTTACAGCCCATCTGATGTCATTGCCTTTACTTCAAAAGGCTTACGACTATTTTGAATCCACCTTGAGACGGATGGAGCTAAAAGAAGCATGACAGTCTCTCTCTCTCTCTCTCTCTCTCTCTCTCTCTCTCTCTCTCTCTCTCATGCAAGCTGCAAGGGACTAACTAGGCTCTGGCGGAGGTACTACAGGCTCATGTCTTTATTGGTGTCTTTGGTTTGGGGTGACACCCCCCCCCCAAACTGCTGGTCCTGGCTGATCAGGTTGCTTCCTCTAGATCCCAACCTTGGGTCCCCAAGGGTTCCTGAACTGCAACCCCCAGAAATCCTGGCCAGCGCAGCTAGTGATGAATTTGTCTGGGAGCTTTAATGTAATAACATCTGGGGACACAAGGTTGGGAATGACGGGTCTAGCTGTTGAGCAAGCCACCGTGAAATTGAGTTTGATACGGAACTATGAAGTACCAAGACCATGTTCTAGTTCACAAGAATAGAACAGGGCTGGAGAAACCGGTCTAGGATAGTGGCGAGACAGGTTAAGGGTTTGGCTTCTCAGTGCAGGCAGACAAGCGGTTTGGAAATAAATTTTCATGGTAGTAACAGAAGCATAAGGAGATGCCTTGCAATGATTACAAGCCACAGCGGGGGAAAAGGTCGAGAGATTCTGGTCCAAAATATTAGTTTCTAAGCATCCGATGTTCAGCATCTCAGCAAGCACTGTCAACATTGATTGGGAGCCTCCCTCCAGGGCTTCTGCAGCTAATTGAACATTTTATTTGGAATAGCAACACTGGAGGCATTCAAGAGAAACGTAGAGAACCACCTGGAAGATCTCCTTTGATTTGGATTCCCTTGTTGAGCAGAGAGTAGAGCATGATGCCAAAGACGTGGGCAGCAGTGAGGTGTCAAGGACATTGTGAGCCCTAGGTGACATGTGGGGGGATGTCTGTAGCCTGGGGAGGCAAATTCGAATTCGGGGAAGTCTCAACGGTTCTGCATTCTCTAGCTTAAAAAAAAGAAGGAAAAGGATCGGAGATAAGAGTCAAGAATCTGGTTTCAAAGAGTTTGGAATTTAAAGCGGAACTGCCTTTAACGCCTCTCTTTTCTTAACCATCAATCAGGTATCTCAGCAGGGTGTCCCTGAATGACACTGAACAATCCTGTCTCCTTCCTTAGAGCTCAGCAGGGAAGTCTTAGCTCTTATCTCTGATCTGTGGTAGGAGATCAGCTGGAGTGACAAGTCTGCCCAAGCCACCTTAGGCTGGGGGGTGGTATTTATTCCCATGGCCAGATCAGATTCATAGGCCAGATGCTCTTCATCCCGGGTGCCCTTACGGCTGCTGGAGAATGTGCTCAGCAGACAGGAAGGACAGAAATGGAGAACACAGCAGCTTCACAATCGGAAGGTGATAAGACATTGTCCCTCCAATTTGCAATTTGTGAATCGGCTTGTTTTTGTGGTGGTGGTGGTGAACCACAAATATCCTTTCCTTGAATTCTTAAAGGAGCTGCTTTTCTAAATCGTATGCAGGGGCAAAAACTCCGTTTATTGCTAATAATTCTTCTGTGCTCCCTGTTGGATGTTCTTCTACATTGTAAAACTGGCATATTGTCCACCCCAGACCTCCTCCCTTCTGTACTGTAACCTGCAAAAAGAAACTATAGTGAAGTAAGGTTCAGTTGTCAAAAATACTTCCTGCTGTCCTTCTATAGGTCTGGCTTATCATCACTGCCATTATAATATTGGGGTGGGGGGATTGGAGCATTTTGCTTTGTGGGAGCAGGAAAACATTAAAAAAGGAAGCTCTTATCCGAGTCAGGTTTTGTTTTTGTTTTTTGCTTTCCTGCCCCCCCTCTTCCCCACCATACAGAACCCCGAGAGAAATTAATTCTGAGACTGGATAACAAGAATGAGATTTTAACCGCAGAGACGCCGCTGTCTGAGCGACAAAGCACACAGAGGTCTGCATGAAAAAAAGGATGAGTAGGGCTATAAACGAGCCAACATGTTGCCAATGAAAACAATACCAGCAGGCATTTTAATCTCTTGTGCATTTTTATCAGCATCACCTAATCCGGTCAGGAGGGGAAATCGCCGTAATCTAGCAGTGAAGTAGCTCAGTTCAAATTGTTCCAGAGTTTTGAATTGCTGGTAAAATTCCATTTGCTGTGCAGTAGAGGTACAGACGTTAGCTGGCTGGATAACTCAGTGGTTTAGATAGCCGGCTGTGTAGCCAAAGGCTGGGAGCTTGATTTCCCACGGTGACTCCTGGGAAGATGAGCCAGCCTGTCTGGCCGTGGGCAAGCTGTAAAATCCCAGGGCGCCCCCAGAAGAAGGGGATGAGAAACCATTTTTGTATATTCTGGATCTCGAAAACCCTGAAAGGGATTTCTATAAGTCATAACATGATTATTAGGAGTACAGAGATACACAGAGGAGAATAGCTATAGGTTCCCCGGAGTCCACTCCTTTCTCATCAACTGGCACTTAGAGTCTCAATAAGAGACTTTAAGTGCCAGTTAACGCTCTCAATAACTCACTCTGAAACATTTGTAGAAGGAATCAAACACTTCTTTACTTACAGCTGCTGGAATTACAGACTTGTGAATACTGCTTTTTTTACTGCTTTTTAAACTGCTTTTTTCTAACATGGTAACCAACCAAACAGATCAACAGCAAACAAACAGCTGTTTCCAACTGACAAAAGAGAGGGGAAAGAGACTCTTAGCAGAGAGGCAGGGCTCTCCTTGAGTTCAACGGCTGGAATAAATGATGAGTTACTGCTGAATAAATCTTCATCATCCTCGTCCACCTCTAAATGCAACCCTCTTGTTCCAAGCAAAGTACCTGCATGTTAAGAAGGTCCTCCCTCCCACCACTAGTTCCCCTGCCAAATCAAATTTAGAGGAAAAGCTCCATCGGTCGAGGGAGAATATCATGCTAACCTAAGCAGAATTGCTGCATGGTTGGTAACTATCACTGAACATATGATGGTGGCTGTTTATGGTTGGGCCGCTTGTGCGATCCGTCCTATTGTTTGCTGTTTGAAATTTCACTGGGTTTCGCTCTCGGCACCCATCGGGTCAACTTTTTTCATTTGGAAGGCCACTGTGTGGTTTATCTCCGGCCACAGAATAGATGGGCCTGCCTGGCTCTCCAGCCCTTACAGTGTAGTTTTGCTTCCAGCTGGCTTCACTTCCCGAATAGAAGCCCCAGTCACTTTGCGGGATTGATCAAGAGTGTGGGGGAATATTCTGTCCCTCCATCTGCTTGGCGCTTGGGTACTCATACTCAAGTTTGCAGCAGAAGTAGCCCGTCTGTCTCAAGACATCGATCAACGTCCTTCGCTTGCAATTTGGCCCTCAGTATCAATCGCCTCCTTATCGTCTCCGATGGAGTTGTATTACGGATGGGTCATTGCCCAGGTACGGCAGTTTGATGCCATTTTAAATGGCGTGATTCCATCTTCTGGAATCCTTGGATCCTATGTCATTTGGGGAGATACTTAGCATTCTTTGCTAGAGATCTTGAGTTCCTTCTCTTGAGCTTCAGCAGAGAAGTCTACGCCGCTCACCAAACGACAGTCCCCAGGAATGCATAGAAGCCGTGGCAGTTAAATGGGTATTGCGACTCACTGCACGGTGTGAAAATCTCTCCCTCGTTCTAGAATTTAGATTTCTAGTCTCTGGTTGGCGGTGAAGCTCACGATGCAGCTTTCGTGGCAGAGGAAGAAAAGGCTGAGGAAGGAAAAGAAAAGAACACATCGGAAACAGCCTCCCTGTTTTATGTATGGAAGCAGGCTGGCTGTTGAATTTTGCTGTACGTAAAATATGGGGGGATTTGACAGCGTCATGCGTGGCAAAGCAGGGCCGTTCAGGAAAAAGGCCGGTGCACACGCACACATGCATGCATGCATACAGAAAACTCTAGACGGGGAAACAGCTTGAGTGCGGAGGAAGAACAATCAGGGGAAGGTCAATACCGTCCCCCCCAAATCTGCTGCCTGAGGCAGTTGCCTCACTCTGCCTAAGGGTAGGGCTGGCCCAATTTATGAGCCGCTGTCTCTCAGTCCAGCCCATCTTACTGAAAAAATAAATATTTTTAAAGAACACATTGTACAATGATGACAACGAGTAATACACCGCCGATATTCTGCTACTGTAGGTGGCCTGGCTGTTGAGGCTGTCTGTGAAGCTCTGTCGTCACTGGAATCGTTCTGAGCTTCAAACGGCTGTAACTCTCTTCGGTCTCAGGGACAAAGGCAACCCTATTCAGTCCCAAAAGATTAGGAGGAGCGTAGAACTAGTCATAAACTTTGGCAACAGTTGTCAACCTTTCACAAAAGATGTCTGTTAAGCAGCCCACAAGTCTGGGAACAAAAAACACTCTCTACGGGAACGGTTCGGATGGCTTTCCTGAGGAGAACTTGTCCAGACCCAAACAAACAGATACGTTTTACGGCCATTTCTGGAGAAGCGATTCTTTGTGAGGGGGTTGCGTATGAGAGTTTCCTTGCCGTTATCTGCTGTCTGCAGCGTGTTGCACAAATCCTTTCGGGTTGAACATTATTTGACAGACGGCGTGAAGTGCTTCTCCCCACAGCACGGAGTTCAGCAGCAGTCTTTGCTGCCACAATATGTGGTGAGCACAGCCAGTGGTTGAATGAAGTTTAAAAGAGGATTAGCGCACTGCTGATAGCTCAGTGGTTTAGGCCTCTGGCTGCAGAAGGAGTGGTTGGGAGTTCGATTCCCCACCATGGACTCCTTGAGAGGGGCTGGACTTGGTGATCCAAAGGGCCCCTTCCTTCTCTGCAGTTCTTAGATTATAGATGATAGATGACTTGTAGAGGAGAAAGTTCCTAAAACAGAAGGTTCATCTCATTCCTGTTTCTTATCTCTCGAATTTGCTTCCAAACTTCTGTTTAAAAATCCAGTCCTTGTTTTCACTATTTAAGAAATCTTTTGAAAAACCACTTCTCTCTGCTGGAGGTTTTTCTCTCTCTTTTAAATTAAGTGCTCATCGGTTGGGAGTTTGGTTCCCCACTGTGCCTTATAGGAGAAGAGCTAGCTAATGCAACCTCGGAGATGTTGAACCGCACATGAGTGTCCTCAAAAGAAAGAAACGGGAAATCACTTCTGAGTACTTCATATCCAGGAAAACCTGGCAAGGGTCACTATAAGTTAGAATCAACTTGACAGCACAGAATCGTTATTGTCCACTGAGTGCTAATTGGAAGTTTCTGATGGCAAGGCTTTCGTTGTGAACCCCAAGGGCAAATGGGAAGTGCTTAACTCTTCCCGCAGTATGTTTAGAGGAAGAATAGGCAAGAGCAGAAAGTCATGGGGGGGGGAGGCACTGAAGAAAGCAAGAGAAGAGGAAGGTTGTACATATGGTGGGAAAAATTCTGATAATATTCATGTAGCACTCAGTGCTAGAGATGGGCACAAATCAACAATTCTGATAATATTCATGTAGCACTCAGTACTAGAGATGGGCACAAATCATGCTGCTTCATACGAAATGCCCTACATGGCCACTCAGGTGCTGTGCATTCCCTCTCCCTGCCTCCCCAGCTGGCTCGCTCACTCATTATCTGTCGCATGCTGCTGGGGTCTTCCTTCTCCACCCATGCGCCAGTCTGGCAGGAGCATGGGTTGCCTGCCATCGCTTCCCCTGGCAGCCAACCACTCAATGGCTGCACAGGGAGAATTCCCGTCCCGCCTCCTTGCCTAAGTGGTCAGCTGCCAGGGGAGGCAGGAACAGGCAGCCCGAGCTCCTGTCTAGACTGGACCGCTGCCAGAGAAGGAGGACTGCGGCAGCGCATGACAGATGGTGAATGGGCCAGCTGGCTGCAGGGGTGGGCGGAGGGAACTCGTGACACCTGTGGTGCCATGCAGGGTGCTTCATACGAAGCGGCACAAAGTAATTCTTGCCCATCTCTACTCAGTACTTGAAGGGGAATAAGTGCTCAGCTTGGAAGAGCCCAAAGACTACTATTTCTGATGGTAAGACCCTGTTCTGAGGTGGCCAACACGTGCAGCCTCCTGGTGCCCTTTTGCGGATCCTAAGTTCTTGTTCTCCCAAACCGCAGCACTGAAATTAAGCAGAGCACTGAATTCAGAAGGAACAAAAACGAAACCAGTCAAGAAATGCTTATTTTCAGAGGGATTTCTCTAGTCTGCTGCAGAAATTCAGCCGTCTACTGTGGTTTCCAGGGTGTGCATGTGCAGACGTGGCACCCTGGATCTACGGAGATTCGCCACCCTATCCGACTCCCTAGCCCATCACCACAATTGCAGATAGGAGCATAAGAAAAAAATCCCACCAGTTCAACAGTCTTGATTTTGGCATCTTGTTTCCCATCATCACCAAACCGGTTGCACCCATCAAGGCTACACACAGGGTGCAAAATCAGAAACCCTTTCTCTCTGTTGTTCCAAAACAACTGGTATGGAAAGGGTAGGGGAACTAAGTCCAACAGGTAAGTTGCATGGATCAACGGTGCAGAGTTTGGAAAAAGTTCCTTTTCGGGGGATCCCCAAGTCTTCAACCCGCGTGGCCTATTACCACTACCTTGACTGGAGGGTTCTGAGAACTGTAGTTCAAAAAAGTAACTTTTTGAAGCTCTGGGGGAATGCTCCCTTCTCTTCCCTTGGTTTTTATTTTCTCTCTCGTTTGTTTAAAATGGGCGTGGAGAAAATGATTTGTACTGGAAAGACATGGGAACAAAACAGAGGAAAGAAGCAACACCACTTCATAATATCCTTTGCAATGTGGAAATAAGGAGGGCTCCTAATGTACCCTTTTTTCTCTCCCTCTTCCAGTCTCCATAGAGGATATTCAGGACGTGAGGGCGGGGCATAAAACAGAAGGAATGGAAAAATATGCCAAGGATGTTCCTGAAAACCGCTGCTTTTCGATCATCTTCAAAGACCGGAGGAACAACCTGGACCTCATCGCTAGCTCTGAAGCTGACGCCAGTCACTGGGTGGGAGGCCTGAAAAAGATAATCACAAAAAGTAACTCCATGAGCCAGAGACAGAGATTACAACAGTATCCTTATGTTCCGTTCCAGGAGAGCACTGGGTGTTTGTTTCGTCATTCGTTTTCATTCGCGTTTTATCCCGCCGTTCCTTTAAGGAAATGAGGACTGTGGTTACTGTTCCCTCGGGAACACACAAAAAGCAACAACCCTGTGAGGGAGGAAAGATTTAGGCCACACCACTGACCTAGCGTCACCCAGTGGGCTTTATGGCTGAGGGGAGATTCTGCCTCCCTCTCAGTCAATGTAGCAGCCTTGTGAGGTGGGCACGGCCAATATGCAAGACTCACGTTGTCTATCTGATCAAAACTGTTCTGTCCTTCTTCAGAATTTCTCAGGTGTTATTGCCCGATGAGAACTTATTCCTAAAGCACAGCATTAGGCTTGCTTCCCATTGCATTAAAGCTCTAAATTCTGTTTTATTTGGTCAAGTTTAAAGGTTAGATCCAGTTCAGACATTCTGAAAAATCATGATTTCTTAAGCTGAAGCTTGACTCCGATCACTCATTTTGACAATGTTTGGCCTAAGACAAAATTTTTTGCCTGAGATTATTGTTACTTGTAGCATTATTTGTTAGTATTTTTGTGATACTTGGGAAATGGCAAGCAAACATCATGAAATCTGAAGTAATGGGTGATTTGTAGAGGTAACCTTGAAATGATTTCCCCCATGACTTAACACTTGTGGAAATTCATTTGAGGTTATTTAGTTAGTTCGCTTCTTGCTTATTTCAATCCCACCTTTGTGAATTCTGATTATTCCAAGACAGTTTATAGTACAATAAAAACACAGTTATAAAATCATACACTAGTATCAAAGTTGTGGTGTAGCACATAGAGTGATGAACTAGACCTGGGCTTGAATTCTCGCTTGGCCACGGAAATGGACAGGGAGGGACAGAACGAGGAAACTACTCCTTAAATATCTCACTTACTTTGAAAGCCCCTTTAGTCAGTTCCAACTTGACAGCACATCACAGAACCTATCAGCAGCAATATCAACATAGTAACAATATCAATTCATCAGGATCCTTTTCAAAGTTCAATTGGTCATTGGTAGGTGGTCCCTAAGGGTGAGGAGAGACAATCCATTTGACAGAGTATATGGCCATATCTGTATCCTTCTCACCATCTTGTGACCCTGCCATTGTTGTGAGAGTTGCCCCAACAGCAACAAAGGAAAAAAAAAGAGAACAAAAGTACTTGTTTCCACTGTAAAACAAGGTGCAGATGGAGAGTGCACCTTGTTTCTGTTAATGTGATTCAATTTGTAAACAAGGTGCACGTGGAGTACATGCTTTGTTTTAAAGTAAATATGGCCCTTTTTGGCTCTGTCTTTTTGTGGCTGAAATCTCCAGGAGCAGCGGGGACTCAAGAAAAGCTTCAAAGAGAGAGAGAGAGAGAGAGAGAGAGAGAGAGAGGAGCGAGGCACATGCAGCCTGCGGGCTACATGATCCTCATGCCGGCTGTCCCTTTGACAGCACTTCAGAGGGGTAGATTATCTCTGGGTTCAGATGAACTGCTGAGATAGAAGCAGACACAAGCCAAACTGAGGTTGCCTCCCAATCCTATTTTGAAAATGCCGTGTGTTTCACACCCTTCCATGTACCCATGCGCTCACTTCAGAGAACCTTCTAGAAGTTTAAGGTGAAGCTGGGTTGGGCGTGGGGCTCCCCTCGGAGGTTGGGTTCCTTAATTATTGATTAAACAGCTGGATTCACGCCTGCTTGCGGAAGGCGGACAAAAATAAAGACAACAAGATGAGTTTCAAAGAGCTCAAGGACTTCCTGAAGGAAATCAACATCCAGGTCGACGACAACTACGCCCGGCAAATCTTTGAGGTGAGCAGACCTTCCTTGGCTCCTCTTCTGCCAAAGGGGTCAAACGATTCCCTCCCCTGGACTCCCCTGACACGGGCTGGACTTCCTGATGGATAGCAGCCCATTCCATGGGTAGTGGTCTGTATTTTATCAGTTTGGCACTTTCCCCTTGGACATATGCAAACCCCATGGATTTCAAGGGGGCCGCCTTGGGCTAACTTAACTGGAAAGCTGGAGGCCGCTCGAGTAAAGTGGAGTGCTTCCCTTTTGAAGCTTTTACACCCCATGATTGCAAATACGAGCCTGCCCTTTGCACTGAAGTTATATGATTTAGTTTCACCCTTAGCAGCTTATGCTACCTGGTAAAAGCTTTTAAATAAACATTACGACTGAATAACAATACACATTAAATACGCATTGGGAGAAGCTTTCTCAAGGAATGAAACACTCCAGTCCTGCGCAGGTTTTAGTCTGGACTAGAGCTTGATAAAGTTACTTTTTATTATTATTGCCCCTCCCATGTTCTGCCAGCTTTATAGTCTGATAAAGTACATTTCCAAGCTCTTGTTTTTATCTGGGAAATGAAGTGTCTGTTTGTGAATATGACTTCCTGTTGAAATTATTAAGGGTGGGAGCCACAATCTACAGTTGTGACTCGCATTATGATGTTAATTTGTTCCAGTGAAATCGCTGTAGAACGAAAACATCGTAATGCAAAAATAAAAAGCCAATTGAAACACATTAAAACCCATTTAATGCGTTCCAATGGGCTGTAAACTCACCATCCAGCAAGATCCTGCATAGGGCGGACATTTTCGGTGCCTGTGCAGCGAGGAATCCATCCCGGAAAATAGCGGGGATCCATTTTATTTACCCGGTGGCCATTTTGAAACCGCCGATCAGCTGGAGGAAAATCTTCGGTTTGCAAAGAATCGGCTCCCGAAGCAGGGAACCGATCATCGCAAAGCGAAAAAAAACCCATTCAGACCATTGCTTTGTGATCGCAATTGCAATCGCAAAAAGATTGTCGCAATGCGGTTTCATCGTAATGCGGGGCAATCGTAAAGTGAGGTAAAGTATTCCCTTTTCTCTCTGCATTCACAGCACTGTGACAAATCGCAGACAGACACATTGGAGGACGAGGAGATAGAAGTCTTCTATAAGCTGCTGACTGAGCGGAAAGAGATTGACCGGATTTTTAATGAACAGACCAATAACGACGGGATCATGTCTCTGGACAATCTGGTCAGGTTCCTCCGAGAAGTACAGCGTGAGGAGGAGGCTGGTCCCGAGTTCGCACTTTCTCTGATTGAGAGATACGAGCCAAATGAAACAGGTAAGCTTTGAGTTGTAACGCTTGGGCGAATGGATCGATTTACAAAAATTTGCATCAAATCGTAGAACTAGAAAAGCCAGACGGAACTCCTAGGGTCATCCACTCCAGCCCTCTGCCAAAGCAGGCAACGCACGGCTAAAGCATCCTTGATAAGGCGGGATGTTTGTGTCATACAGCCCATGTGTACAAGGTTTGTTACTCTTCGATTCATTCATCAATGGACGGTTGAGTGGCCCAAATCCTGTTGCGTAGTTATGCCGGCAGAAATGAAACAGTGTAACTTGCAGCAGTAAATTGCTGCTAATTAATGAGTCCCCGCTTGGATTCCTGGGCTTGTGCCAAGGCGTCTGACGGGTACCTAATAAGGAGTCAAAGCGAGGACTTGTTAATTAGCTGTCATTTGCTGCTGTGTGTGATACCATTCCCTTCCTGCCGGCATACCTATGCAACAGGATTTTGACTGATACTTGCATATTTATTTATGGTGTCCTATCACGTCATGATAGCAAGAACATTCCCCTCTTTTTGTCCCCTTGTGGCTGTTCCTCTCCGAGGACTTGTTAATTAGCTGTCATTTGCTACTGTGTATACCTATGCGACAGGATTTTGACTGATATGTGCATATTTATTTATGGTGTCCTATCAAGTCATGATAGCAAGAACGTTCCCCTCTTTTTGTCCACTTGTGGCTGTTCCTCTTTCCATGAATAAAGAAATTCACATTTGGCTGTGATGATTATGTGTCACCACCAGGTCCATCTATAATTAATTTGTTAGCTAAGCTATTGGCCTTCTCTTCTCTGCATTTTATTGATTAGAAACACGTCAACTTTATTTTGCTACATTAAAAATGGACGGGCAAAGACTGTATACTTGGTAAATGCCTTTCTTGTATTACATGATCACAATATAAGCAATGGACACGAGAATGCTGGATCTCATGTTTCTAGCGCCCAAAAGGCATACGCACCTAGGAGACACAGAGGACCACTCTATAGCCATATGATACAGTTAATATGTTATTAGAAGCCAAGCTCCCTAAAGAAGAAAAAGACATTTATTCATCCCAGCGCAAGGTTTCCTCAGCTGTACATGTTGCAAATTCCATTGCATTTGTTTTGTGCTTGGTCGGAGGTAAACATGGGCTTCCTTTGTAAGTCTGATTGTATAAGCCTAGCAGCTTTGATGGAATTTGTATCTGGAGGGATAACATTTTATCACTTTCTAATGGTGAAGTTGGGCATCTCACATAGTTTTACTCTATGTGGGAGAAGCAGTTCTTTTTAAAAACTGCAGACTGTAATTTTTTTTATGAGTTTAGATGGCGGAAGCAGAGAAGGGGTCCAGAGATAAGATCAGGGCAGGCAATGACTTCCAGTTACTCAGAAGAGCAGACAAATGTATAACTGGTTTCCATGTGATTTATTCCTCTCCTCTTTTTTTGCAGTCAAAGGAGAAAAGGCCATGACCAAAGATGGCTTCCAAATGTATTTGCTATCGGCAGAAGGGAATCTGTTTGACCAAACGCACAGCCGCGTGTACCAAGACATGACGCATCCGCTCAGTCACTACTACATATCGTCCTCACACAATACCTACCTCATGGAAGACCAACTGAGAGGGCCGAGCAGCACAGAAGCCTACATAAGGTATGATGCAGCTGGTGCTCCATGGCAGGCATGACTGGGGTAGAACCAGAGTTCGTAGCCTTGAAGGGCTGAGATTTTTAAAATTCCAATCAAAGGGGACGCGAACACTCGCTTCCCTGTACCTCTGGGCTAAACTGCAAGTCTTTGCATCAGCGGGAGAAGAATCATCTTCTCTAGCCATAAAGTATTGTTGTTGAGTTTTAGAAGACACAACAGTACTACAGAAACAAAGAGATTACTACAACTTTCCTTTTTCCACTGATGTGGAAATGTGTATTTTGATCCATGCTACTTTTCAACTTGTAATGCCAATCCACATTGTAAACGTTGAAATCTAAGTAAGTAATTTTTGCAAGCTCTGGTTACAGAAGGGTGGATTTTGATTGAACATTAGGAGAAACGTGTTGATGGTAAGAGCCATTGAAAAACCAGTCCTGTATCATGGGCCAAAGTATGATTGGAGGTTGATATTGGCTAACATTTCAGAAAGATGATTGATCAAGTAATTATACTGGCAACTGAATCCTGAAGTTGCCTCTTGATGACCAGCAACAGAACACAGCAAACTAACATGCAAAAAACTGGAGCTGTACAAAGCTGTTGCTGTGACAATCAGATGTTTTCAGCAATTAAGGAATTCTTTCTTCTAATAATGGACTATCTATAATGTATAATTTTAGATCACAGAGGGATTGTGGGTTCTCCTTTGCTGCGGGTTTCCAGACAAAAACTGTACAAAGATCGGTTAGCTGCCATAGTATAATGGATTAATACACATTGCATAGCTGTCTGTCGAAGGTGCAGGAATTGTGGTTCCCCCCCCCATGCAGAAAACCCTGAAAACTCTTTTGCCAACTCTGAGTCAGACGTGGTGAACTTACTTTTTCCAGATGACAAAATCCCAGAATCCCCAGGCTGTATTGGCTGGAGATTCTTGCAATTCTAATTTTGAAAAAATGTTTGCAAACTCTGTCTGTCTTGAGCATCTCCCTCATTAGTCATTGCAAGCAATCTCACCTTGATGACGGAAAAGCTCCTGAACATCTGTTTTCTTTTTTTTTTGCTTTGCAGAGCCCTAACCAAGGGGTGCCGTTGTGTGGAGCTGGATTGCTGGGACGGCCCCAATTCAGAGCCCGTCATTTACCACGGTTACACCCTCACTTCCAAGATCCTTTTCTGTGATGCCATCAAAGCTATCAAGAACTATGCTTTCAAAGTAAGGTCACAAAACGAACACACAAACACACACACACAAATCAGATATTAGGAATGGCCCTGCATTTTCCCACATCTAATGAAGAGGGAGATTGCATCTTGGTCTTATCTCCTGTTTCAATAAAATCTTTCACTTTTTGCTTCTGAGCTGTCTTGCTTCAAAGAGGTTACCCAGCATTGTTTATTTATTTTCTGCCTTCTTTCCTGCAAGACTAGCTGGAGGGAGGGAAGGAAATTCTGGCTGAAATGGGGAAAAGCAAAATGCTGTCCCCATCTTGCATGTGATATTTCATTTTCGTTTGTTGGTTTAAAATATTTTTATCCCACCTTTCTCCTTAAAAAAGTTAAGCATTCTGGCGACCTGGCAGTGATTTAATGTTTATCTGGTTTAATTCATTCGTTGCTACGCTCTATCAGGTCTCAGGTCTCTTCTGACTTAGTGCAAATCGATCAAAAGTTCGTATCACTGTAAACCCTGCTGAGGTCCAGCAAACTCAGGGCTGTGGATAAGTGAATCAGTGGTTACTGATCATGAAGTCAATGGGGTCCTACTGTATATGCAAAACAGAGTTTCTCCTAACTGTGGTGCTATTACAGAGAAAGCCCTGTTTGAGTCATTGCTCGGTCTCATTGTCCCAAGAGGAAGAACCTTCTCTTGGAGCAAAGAGTAGGATTTTTCCCTGGAGAGATGAAAGTCTGTAGAGGTTCATATGGGAAGAAATTGTGGCTGGCATACCCAGAAGTCTTGCGTTTATTGTCGTCTTACAGACCTCTCCTTATCCAGTCATCATCTCCCTGGAGAACCACTGCAGCCTGGATCAGCAAAGGATGATGGCACACCACCTCAAGACCATCTTGGGAGACATGCTGTTGATGGCCCCGGTTGATTCAAACACAGACAACCTGCCATCCCCGGAGGTGAGTTTAACAACCTTTTTGGTCTGATATTGGGCAATAAGTTACTTTTTTAAAGTGGTTTGGGAACTGCAGTTACAGAGTCCTAAGTGTCAACCAAGATGGCGGCCACAGGAAATTGAATGTCAGCATAGCCAAAGCGAGTAGGACAAGCTTGCCTCTTTTCACTTCCTGGCGTTTCTTTGGTTGGGTTTTGATTTTAAGAAAGAAAGAGGGGATGAATACATTTGCATACATCTGAGCATATTTTACTTTACAATTAAAAAGAACTTGCTCCAGGAAGCTGGTATTCGTAAGTGACTGTTGTTATTGAGTACACAGTCAGAGTTTGTCTTGAGTACATCGCCAATTTTATTGCCCAGTTCGCAGGACAGCAATTATTTGCTTTTCTCTTGATCATCACGAGGTCACTCAAGAAATTCTACAGAAATGTTTTCGTTATCCCATTCCCCATATGTTCCCCCATTACTGGGGGGGGGGGGAAGAAAACAAACAAAATGTGTTTTGAAATTAACTGGGGCAGGCTTTTAACCATCATGAGTCTGGTAGAAAGGGCCTTCACCTTTTCCCTGTTACACCATGGATTACCTGATTAACACTGTTTGCAATTGTTTCCCCCCCCCCTTTTTTTCATGTTCTGTAGGAACTAAAGGGCAAGATTTTAGTAAAGGGGAAGAAACTCAGTCCCGAGACGGAAGAAGTCTCCGACGAGGATGAAGCGGCTGAAATGGAAGACGAAACGGTAAAAAGTGAGTTGGACAAGAAAAAGACGGTGAGTCTCATGAACTGCTCATTGGATGTTGCCATTCGAAAAATGAATTCTAAATATGTTTCATGCTCCCATTCTGGGAATCCTTAAAATGGCTAACATGTCTTAGAAGTCGTATCCCTTTAATCCACTTCAGCAAAACAGGAAAATCCTGCCAAAGAAACGTTTAAGTTAAACCTTTTTTCTTCCACCCTCCCCCCTCCCTCCATGGAAGAGTGGGAGGAAGCTTTCGATTTTTCAAGGTTAGGAAGCAGCTTCAGCAGAGAGTTTACACCCTCCACTTAGGTTTCAACTCCAGCGATCACATATGCTGGAATGAAATCCAAACAGAGCAATCCTACCCACACTAGAAAAATCAGTGGCCCCTGAGAGGGAGCCAGAAAGCTTCAGGTAGGCACAGAACAGAGGGGAACCGGTTTGTGACGGCCCATCGGTTGTGTAGTCATCACAAAAAGGAGGGAAGCCCATCCCCAGATGACATTTGTCACTAAACAGTGAGACAAATCCCTGTCCAATTGCACCCTACGTGGATGGTAGCTGAGAAAATTGTATTTGTAAGCGGCGAGAAGAGATTTTTGCAACTGAAAACGGAAATGCAAATTCTTCAATAAAAACGCAGTACAAGAGGGTCTTGGAGAGGATCTGAGTAGCTATACATGGCCTGGGCCGGCTAGCATAACCGTGTTTGATACTGAGATAATGAATGGGAGCATTTGAAACCCTTTTGGGTGGGAAATGATGTTAGGTTTTTTTGCCCTCCAAAAATTATCAATTTGGCAGATTGTGGCTTGAAGGATTCATGCTTGTTTATTCTCTGTTAGAGTGAGAAGCTGAAGCTCGCCCAGGAACTGTCTGATACAGTCGTCTACTGCAAAAGCGTTCACTTTGAAGGTTTCAACAACACAGAATCCCTCGCTTGGGATGAGATGTCATCCTTCAGTGAAAGCAAAGCTCTTAAACTGGCTCAGGAATCTGGTGGGTACCATTCGGATTGTTGGGTGAATTTTCTATTGTCCCAAAAATGTGGCGTTTGGTAAAGGTTCACTTTCTGGACTGTCATCGTCCAGAGTCCGGTACCTGCTCTGGCTGGGGGATTCTGTGACCCGTAAGCTGAGAAAATGTAACTTTTCCAAACTTTGTAAACATTGGCATCCTCACATGATCCCCCCCCCCAAAAAAAGGTTCTTAGTCAGATCAAAGGTCTGCCTAACCCCGTTTGAACAGGGGCCAACCAGATGCTGCTAACGAACTTAAAATGATAAATAATGAAATAATCAGAGGGTTTTTTAAATGGATGGTTGTGCTCTGTTGTTTTTAAATACGGTTCTCAGGTTGATTTTATTAATCATTGTTAACGTAATATTCAGTTCTTTTAAAATATTTGTTTACTCACTGTTTTCAGCTTTTAAATGTTGACTTAAATGTTGTGTGCCACATTGGGCCCATTTAAGGAGAAAAGTGGAGTTAAAACATTTTAACTAAATAAATATTTCCCTTCTTGTTTCTTTTCTGTGGTATTTGAAGTTATACTACACCTGAGCATGGAGGCTTCCTTTATGTCCTTTTTTGGATGACTGTTGATAGGCGAATTTTGTCAGATAATATTTTTTAAAGCCACCTAAGGAATTAAGAAAGGATTGTGGTTGATCGCCTGTCTTGCTTTTGCTGCTCTTCAAGAACAGATCCATTCCTTAGTCCATCCTCTGTTCCTGCAGGAGAGAGGAAAATAGTATTTACTTCTTTGTCTTGCTCCCAGGAACGGACTTCATCCATCACAACATCAGACAGCTAAGCAGGATCTACCCGGCCGGATGGAGGACGGACTCGTCTAACTATAACCCAGTGGACATGTGGAATGTGGGTTGCCAGATAGGTATGTGCAATGAGTAGAGAGAAGTAAGCTTTCTAGGTATTAAAGTAATTGGGTTAGATCCAGTTTTGGTTACATTTAGACTGCTGGAATCCACGGGATTCGACTTAGAGCAGAAACAGATGAAAGGGCAGCTTTGCAATTAGAAGGTGGCAAAACTTCCTTGTTCCAGATCTGCATTCTTCACTGCCGCCATGTTTGTTCAATCAATATGTAGTTGATGTCTGGCGTTTGCCTCCCAGGGAATCAGTCTCTCATCCAAGACAAGCTTCTTCGCCTCTTTTGAAGCTGTGAAACTTGGCTGGAGGAGGATCGAGCAGTCCTGAGGGCCAGACTGGTTCTAATTGTGAAGCTGCCACCTTGTCTCTTTCTCCCGGTAGTGATCCTGGTCTAACTACAGTTTGATCTGAGTTCAATCCAGTCCCTCATTCTTGCACCCTAAAGAAAGGGGGACAGGCTGGAGCAGAAAGAGGGAATAGGAGAGTAGAAAAGTGAAAATCATTCACATCAAATAGGACCCCAGTATTCTTGGGGGACGTGGTCAGCCGCCATGTTCGCTCAATCAACATGTAACTGATGTCTGGCGTTTGCCTCCCAGGGAATCAGTCTCTCATCCAAGACAAGCTTCTTCGCCTCTTTTGAAGCTGTGAAACTTGGCTGGAGGAGGATCGAGCAGTCCTGGTTCTAATTGTGAAGCTGCCATCTTGTCTGTTTCTCCCGTTAGTCATGCTGGTCTAATTACAGTTTGATCTGAGTTCAATCCAGTCTCTCGTTCTTGCACCCTGAAGAAAGGGGGACAGGCTGGAGCAGAAAGAGGGAATAGGAGAGTAGAAAAGTGAAAATCATTCACATACCATAGGACCCCAGTATCCTTGGGGGATTGGTTTTAAGCCCCCCCCCCGCCTCATGGATGCTGAAAAACAGGGATGATAGAAACACTAGTTTATACATAGGATGGTCTCTGGCTCCCTCTAGAGGCCGACTCTGGTAATCTCACCTTTAGAAATATATGTATGCGGGATGCTGAAAAACAGGGATGATAGAAACACTAGTTTATACATAGGATGGTCTCTGGCTTCCTCTAGAGGCCAACTCTAGTAATCTCACCTTTAGAAATATATGTACTGTATGTTTCTAGGATTTTTCTTCTGATATTTTCAGTGGATACTGATCCTGCAGATATGGGAGTCCCACTGTACTTTGCAGACCGCTCGTTAAGGATCAGCACAAAGGGTCAAAACCACATGCCAATTTAGCAGCATCATTCCTCCCTTCAGTGCAGGGCAGTTACACCCCCCAAAAATTACCAGCATGTACAACCCAATTAAATTCTGGGCCCTAAAGTAAATGATAAGAGGTTTAACCTTTTTCTTCCCCACCCCTCATGACCCCGGTCCAGAAAAGGACACTGCATTTGTAATTTGTATGAAGGAGAAGACAAATGTCTCATTGATTCACCATTTCATATGAGAACAACACCCCTGATTGACTATGGAAGATGTCCGGGGGGGGGGGCGGAATCTTATCCTGGTAACACTGGTCCAGCTAATCCAGGACCCATCAACTCTGATGGGCAGAAATATCACTGCACAGTTTTAAATAGGGAGCCTTTTTCTGGCCCTGCCTGGAGGTGGGGAGGATTCAACCAGAGACCTTATTCATGTTGAACAGGTGCCTTACCGTTGATCTACAGCCCCCTCCCCTCCATGATCTGAAAGCCTTTATGTTCCAGATCTCATACTATGATTACTTTGTTGGCAAATTTGTCTATGGGTGTGTGTGTGTGTGTTTAAAACTCAATTGTGTCTTCCTCTCCTCAGTTGCCTTGAATTTTCAGTCGAAAGACGCAGAAATGGATGTCTATCAGGGTCGATTTCAAGACAATGGTTTCTGTGGCTATGTCTTAAAGCCACAGTTTCTTCTGGACCAGCAGTCGGAATTTAATCCCAGGTCGGTCACGGGAGGCCCGTGGTGGACCCCAAAGACATTCCAAGTGAAGGTAAGGGTCGGAGCAGAAAACAGCAAAGGAGGAGTCCTTGTTCAAAGCAAAAGGATGGGATGTGAACCCTTTGTTTAAAAACAGAGGCTTGCAGCTGAGTTCACCACATCTACACATAGATGTCTTGGACTGAGCAAATGTTGCATTCAGCCTGCAGGTCCTCAAACTTTACTGGGGTGCCTGGAATGTTAAGAAACCAGATGATTTCTCCTTTTTTGAGGGGAAAAATGACTGTGTAGGAAAGGCTTAATTAGTGGAGGGTATGGGGCAACTTCATGCACTTCAAATCTCTAGCAGGTTTTCAGGCTGCCACCCAGAATTTAATTCCAAGGGACAGCTTCTTGTTCTTTAAATCTGTGACAACAGATCCCTTTGATTGGTGTGTCCGTAATCACCAATCACTCTGATTGCAGTGAGTCAGGTCTATAGGCTAGCTTTTTTTAATCCCTACTGTTGTGACATGCTGTCAGGATGCTTCCAACTTAAGAGTTGCCCGTGCCCATGAGATGTTCAAGAGAGTGGTTTACCATTGCCACATAAGCTTCTGTGGCCATGCGGGGATTGGAATTCAGATCCTAGCCTGACACTCTATCCTTGATACCACACTGGCTCTCTGATATAGATGATAAAATCTCCATTTACAGAGAAGAAGGAAAACCACCCCCGGCTTTCAGTAACAGCTAAATTTTCTAGACTGGTAAAATCTAGCCTGTGTGTTTCTTCAAAGTTCGAGGATCTAATCACTGACTGACTGCTCCCTGGGAAATGATGATGCCATGAAGGCAATCTAAGCTCCCGTCATCGTTTTCTCCTTTTGTCCTCCTTTTTTCGTCCAGGTTATCTCAGGTCAACAGCTGCCGAAAGTGAACAAAAGCAAAAACTCCATTGTTGACCCAAGAGTGATTGTGGAAATCCATGGTGCCGAGACAGACAATGATAAGAAACAAACCAGGGTCATTGATAACAATGGTAAGTGGGGAGACCCGATATCCCATGGGTGAGTAGGTGGGATCCGGCCTCCGTAGGATGTCATGAAACAGGAAAACGTAGGATCTGTCATAAAGTCTAGCAGTCCAATCTACTCACTCTTCACGGTACCAACAACTCAGGGTCAAACTACACATTACAGACAGCATTGAAGAGGAGGAGAAGGAATTCCTTGAACACTGAAAATGCCTGAGTCTCACAGCTCGGTTTTTTCACCCCTCCTGTCATTTGCAAATCCACTTGCTTTGTTTTGTGGTGGATTTTTGGTAAGTAAAGACAAGCTTTGCTTGCAGTTATGATTGCGGAGTCGTGAAGGTTTGTCGGAATCACATTTCTGGGATAGTAAAAGGGATTTCAGTGACAGATCGTCACGTGGAAGTACAAATACAGGAACAGGTGACACCTTTCATCGACTATTAAGGATATAAAACAATGCACAATTTGTCCTTGGTTCTGTTCCCATTGGTTTTCCGTAACCCTGCTTTACAACGTTAAATCAGCATTCAAATGAATTGACATACTCGTTTAAACGGTGAAATGACTGCTTTCCATGTCTTCCATCTGAGGCAGAATATCTCTGAGCCCACATGCAGAGGATTGCAGAATTAGGTTCTGCACAAGGGACGTCATCCCATGGATGTTATCTCATAATGTCCTCAAGAACGAATGTAGGAATTATAGACTTAAGCCAGCTCTTTCCTTATCTATCTGTCTATCTATCTATCTATTTTATTTATTTATTTGTCTGTCGGTCTGCCTGCCTGCCTGCCGGCCTGCCTGCCTACCTGCCTACCTACCTACCTACCTACCTACCTACCTACCTACCTACCTACCTACCTACCTCTCTGTCTCTGTCTCTCTCTCTGTCTCTCTCTCTGTCTCTCTCTCTCTCTCTCTCTCTCTATCTATCTATCTATCTATCTATCTATCTATCTATCTATCTATCTATCTATCTATCTATCTATCTAATCATCTGGCGAGAGTTGCTTCTTTTAGAATGACAACTTCCAGAAATGAATATAAAGAAGGCTTCAGGAAACTCTGGACGAACAGAGTTAGTTCGCTCAAAAACATGGGGGGAAAAAAAATACCAAATAAGAAACGCTGGGTCCATTGTTCTTTTGCTCCCTCGAATTGATATATCACCACAGGGTTAAGCGATGAGCCTAGCTCACAGGGCTCCTTGGAGTATTTCAGGCGAAGTTCAGATTTGCACGCTTCTGTGTTTCGCTGTTTCACTTTTCCTCTCACATGTTCTCCGCTCTCCAGGTTTTAAGCCATCCTGGGATGAAGCATTTGAATTCAAGATACACGTTCCTGAGCTGGCCCTGGTTCGCTTCATGGTGGAAGACTATGACGCGTCCACGAAAAACGATTTTATTGGACAGTTCACAGCCCCTTTCACGAGTCTGAAACAAGGTGGGTCCGTCTGTCTTTCACCAGAAAACTGAACTTGATTTGAAGGTCAGAGTCACTGGGAATGTGTGGTGCCATCTTGCACAATAATTTGGTAAAAATTACTCTCTTATTATGTGTGTTTTCAGCTGCTGTTTTTCAAAATGAGCAATGGGACCTCCTAGCTTTTATCCACTTTTGTCCACTTTTATGAGGAAGGAGAATGCGATTGGCCCAAGGTCATCCCGTAAATTTTATACCTTAGTTAGGACTTGAGCCTGGAATCCAATTCAGTGCTCTTACTACTGCACTTTTTTTTGGTTACCTGCCTCTTGAAGAAAGGACAGTGGAAGCCCACCCACCTCACCCGTTATCCATCCATATTGAGGCCATATCTTTATTCGGCCTGCTCAAAAACCACAAAACAACGAGCAAGCCTTCTGAGTTCTCCAGAATCCTTCATCAAGACAGACGGCATATGAATGGGTAAAAAGGAAGATGGCAGAAGTTGAAGTGATCATTGTGTATTTATCAAGAACCCCTCAAAGATGGCACCCATCACTTTCCTCCCCTGCCTGATGAAGGATTCTGAAGAACCGAAAAGCTTGCGTATTGTATTGAGAGCGTTGAGTTGGCCTGATCAAGGTTTTTCCTTCATATAATTGTTGGGGTCTTTTTAATGGACAAAGTAGTAACCTTTGTCACCTTTTAATGTGTTGATCAAGAAGGTCTCCTTGGAGCACACTGCCTCCTACCGTCCAGAAAGAAGAAATGCCTGATTAATTGAGATGCACTTGTTTTCTGGGCAATTGGTGGGTTGTGCAAAACTTCTTCTCCTTTCCCCTCCAAAGGTGAACTGCCAGGAAGACTTAAAGAGAATGCTTCTCATTTCTGAAGATCAGTAAATGAGTTCTCTAAAAGGGACAGCAAACCAACTGCTTAATGATCTTAAAATAAACCCTTCCTTTTAAAGAGAATTCTCATTTCTGAAGATCAGTAAATGAGTTTTCTAAAAGGGACAGCCAGCCTACTGCTTAATGATCTTAAGAAACCCTTCCCTTTAAAGAGAAACAACATTTCTCTTAGATTTGAGCATGTTGGGATGGTTGGGATCCACCCAAAGTGGCTGCGTGGCTGTCCCTTCTTTCCCTTTTAAGGGGAACCATCTTTCCCTTTAAAGGGAAAGAACGAACAGCCAGGCAGACACTTTGGTTGGATCCCAGTGACCATGCCTGCTGGAATCAAACCAAAACAGAGCAATCCTACCAGCATCTAAAAACAACAACAGTCCCTAACATGCAAGACAGTGATTTAAACAGCTGATCGGCGGTTCGCAAAGCGGCTTTCCTATGGACAATCTTCGCTAGACAACGACGATTCTTCCCCATTGGAATGCATTAAACAGGTTTCAATGCATTCCAATGGGGAAATGCTTTTCACTGGACAATGATTTTGCTAAACAGCGATTTCAGTGGAATGGATTATCATCATCTAGCGAGGCACCACTGTATTTCCCTTCAATTTGAGCATGTTGGGATGGTTGGGATCAACCCAAAGTGGCTGCGTAGCTGTCCCTTCTTTCCCTTTAAAGGGAAAGAATGAACAGCCAGGCAGCCACTTTGGTTGGATCCCAGTGACCATGCCTGCTGGAATCAAACCAAAACAGAGCAATCCTACCTACATCTAAAAAACAACAGTCCCTGACACGGAGCCAGAAAGGTGTGGTGGGAATACTCTGGGACTGGGTTGGTTTATACTGGTTCTTACATCCTTTGGTCACTGATAAAAGACGATGGACCAACAGCGAGACCAATGAACATATAATCACCTCCTTAACTGAGAAAAATTAAAGATCCAGTATGTATTCTGTCCATCCTTGTCCAGAAGAGTGTACACGAGCCATCACACCATTTTTGGGCAGCTAAGCGGATGGCCATTTTGTTCCATGTGGCAGCTTTGAAATGTGCTTGAATGTCTCTCTCTTTGAAAGAATGAACAGCCAGGCAGCCACTTTGGTTGGATCCCAGTGACCATGCCTGCTGGAATCAAACCAAAACAGAGCAATCCTACCAGCATCTAAAAACAACAACAGTCCCTAACATGGAGCCAGAAAGGTGTGGTGGGAATACTCTGGGACTGGGTTGGTTTATACTGGTTCTTACATCCTTTGGTCACTGATAAAAGACGATGGACCAACAGCGAGACCAATGAACATATAATCACCTCCTTAACTGAGAAAAATTAAAGATCCAGTATGTATTCTGTCCATCCTTGTCCAGAAGAGTGTACATGAGCCATCACACCATTTTTGGGCAGCTAAGTGAATGGCCATTTCATTCTATGTGGCAGCTTTGAAATGTGCTTGAATGTAATCTCTCTCTCTTTCTCTCCCTATCTGTGATCCTCTGTAGGATATCGTCACATTCATCTCCTGACGAAGAACGGAGACCCGTACCTATCCGCCACTCTTTTCGTGCATATCAATATTCTAGACAGTGATTAAAGAAAACCCTCCAGTCTCTTCTGACTGTTCAAGGATTTTTTCTTCTCATTCCATGCTTGTGAGGAGAGAGCTGAAATGTGAACATTTTTTTTCAGTCTCTGTAGGATCCCTAGAACATCCCTGGGAAGCAGGGCATGGAAGCCGAGCAATAAAAAAAATGTAGCCCTCTTGAATGCTATTTCATGGCCAGCCTTTCTGCATTTTGATAGAAAAACATCTCAGAAGAAAAAGAGTAATTTCATTCTATGTGGCAGCTTTGAAATGTGCTTGAATGTAATCTCTCTCTCTTTCTCTCCCTATCTGTGATCCTCTGTAGGATATCGTCACATTCATCTCCTGACGAAGAACGGAGACCCGTACCTATCCGCCACTCTTTTCGTGCATATCAATATTCTAGACAGTGATTAAAGAAACCCTCCAGTCTCTTCTGACTGTTCAAGGATTTTTTCTTCTCATTCCATGCTTGTGAGGAGAGAGCTGAAATGTGAACATTTTTTTTCAGTCTCTGTAGGATCCCTAGAACATCCCTGGAAAGCAGGTCATGGAAGCCAAGCAATTAAAAAAAATGCAGCCCTCTTGAATGCCATTGCACGGCCAGCCTTTCTGCATTTTGATTGAAAAACATCTCAGAAGAAAAGGAGTATTTAAAATGGCCGTGTTTAAAATTGCAATTCGTAAACTTGCGCCCTTTTAAATGCCAGCTGCTGTTTTTCAAGCACAAGGAGAAAAAAAGATGTAACTCTCAGAACTTAGAAAAATTACGTTTTAGACTATAGCTCTCGGAATACCTTCACCAATATGGCCTTTCTAGCATTGAATGGGGATTGCCATCCACTGGGTAACGTTTCTAAGCTCTGGAAGTTCATGGGCCGCGCACAGAAGCCTCCAAATTAGGACACGAAAGAGAGACTTGTGAGAAGATGATGACTTTAAGCTTACTATGTTCACAGCCCTTCCTTGCCACAAATGGCCTTCTGAAAATCTTTTTTGTGTTGGTTCCTTTTTGGGCTGCTGATCAAGGCACTAGTATGCCTTATTTTTGCTTTCAAGAAGTCAAGTTGCTAGACCTCATGGTTAACTTCAGAGAGTAGAGAGGATTTCTACAGATTTTTTTTTAAAATCCAGTGGAATTGCCTCTATGATGTGTACAGACAACTAAAACAACTAAACGTCATTATGTAAATTCTGCACCTCAGAAAGACAGAGTCTGCAAACTGAATAAACCATGGAAAGTGTGTTTGGGTGGTTTTCAGTCGGCTTCTTTCAAAGACAAGGAAACCGGCACACTGAATGAGACGACTAAGTTCTTAAGAACTTTTTGGACTTCCAAGATTTTACTGTTCAAGCCTAAGCAAGAAAGAAAGGCTCATCATTTACTGTCTTTTAAAAAGTTAATTATTTTCAGAAAGCAGCCTTCCCAGTGCTACATTCTGTGTTTTTATGCTCCAGTGTAGAACGATAAGGAGTTCGGAACCTAATTTTTTTATAACTGCTAGATTTGATTTTTAAAAAATAGATACATACTATTTACCACTATGTATTGGATCACTATAAGTGAGTTCCGGCTGGACGTCACGTAACGATCTCCTCACAATGTCTGGATTTGCTAGTTTTTTGTTTTTTTTTTAACCCTGGGGAGAAAAGTGTCCTTACCAGGAGATGGCTCAAGAGCTAGTCTTACTTAGAGTAGACCTCCTGAAATCAGTGACTAAATCTATCCCGCTGTGACGAGCTGGAAGATTTGCTTTTTTTGTAAATCAACAAACTTTTCTAAGAATTTATAAAAATTATTTTACAAAGGAGAAAAGGAAGCTTTATGAGACTCTTGTAAGGTTTGTAGGCTTTTATGCAAAAGCGGTTAAAATCAGCAATATTGTATCTTAAATTTTTTTTTTAGCAAATTCAGATGCCTGAGAAGAAAATAATGTGAAATCACAAGACTGGTAGCTGAAGTAACGCTATTCCTGATTCTTCTGCATTGGTTGCTGGTCACAGTTGTTTTGGGACATATTGCAGTTTTGTACAAAATTTTCATTAAAACGATGAAGGCCGGAAACACAGAGGCAATTTACACAAACCCGTAGCCGGACACTTCAGACGAGAGTCCTCTTTCAAACCTTTTCCTGTTCCCACCGTCTTTGAAATGCAATAAAAAGTCCCATGTGCACAAACTAGCCTCAGAAATAGTCTGAGCCTTAAAAGCATTTTTTATTTGCTGACTGTTCTGTGATTTTTCTACAGCCCATCGAGAACAGGCTGTTCTACGGATAGTTTTGTACTCATGGATATCTCTATATTTGATATGCCTTCAGCATCTGAAATGGACCTTAGGCTTAGAAGGACAGAAGCGCTTCTGTTTTCTTCAGCAGGAGCCTCCTTAAGTGTCCGATTCACAGTATTTACAAAATCCAATCCAAGGCTGCTGTGAAACAGCTGACTTGAAAAACAATGTAAACTCCTGCCTTATTTTGAGCCATACGGATTCATGAATCCCAGAGGTCTTTTGCTTCGTTCTTGGAGGTGGGAGCCGATTGGTTTGGACATGATCCACTAGAGTCAGCCAAGTGCTATGGGGTGGCACAACGTGAATTCCCTAATTACGGAGATTTGTTCTCTCAGGTTAACATTGTCTCTCATGACCATGTGGTTGCAACCGAGCTGCTCTTTTGCTAGGAAAAAAAAGTGGTGACTTCGTGTGGGCCATTTCTGCCGCTGACAAACACTAGCGACCTCCAATGATGGGTTTGTGCGTTGGCTAGCGGTTTTCACAAAATGGATGCTGCCATTGCCCTCATCTACAAAATGGATTCCTGGTCCTAACAGGACTTGGCACAATTAAGGATGATCCCCTCTGCCTGGGTGGAGACACCACAATAATTCAAGTGTGCTGCTTACACCCCACCCACAGTGCTTCAAGCTCTCTCTGGGTAGTTTACAATTTAATTGCACAGGCTACACATTGCCCCCCTCCAGTGAGCTGGGTACTTAGTTGACCGATCTCGGAAGGATGGAAGACTACCTGAGCCCGCCGGGATAGGACTCAAGTCATGAGCCTCAAGGCTCTTAATTCCGTGCATGTTATGGACATGGAGACCAGCGTGCCTCAAAACAGCTACCCAAACATACTACATTGTTCTGTGTATAAGACTATACTTTTGTCTAAAATCTTTAGACTAAAAATTGAGGGTCGTCTTATACATGGAAGTAAGCTGAGGAGGGAACAAAAAGAAGTGGAGGGGAAAGCAGGGATCAAAGCGATCCTGCAGCGCTTTGATCCCTTTCCCCCTACACTTGCTAAGCCCCACTTAGATTTCTTAATTTTGGATTAGAAAAGTGGGGAGTGTCCTATACATGGGGGTGCCTTATAAGTGGAAAAATATGGTATTTGCAGTCTTTTTTTCAAAAGTCCGCGCCTTATACATGGAAAAATATGGTATTTGCAGTCATTTTTGCAAAAGTCTGTTCAAATGTATTAAATGAGCAGACCTTACATGTTCTCTTTTTTTAAAAAAAGGCAGAATGTCATCTTCTTTCCAGGATGAAAAATGTTAGGATATTTCCATCGTAAACCTTTCTTCCCAATGAGCCACCTCCATCTGCTTCCATTCAAGAAGACTGTTTTATGCCGTTCACAGGTCTCCCCTCTTAAGCTTGATGTCCTGCTCAGAGTTAGGAAATAATGCGTTAGATGTGATGGGCTAACCTTGAAATAGTTGCTTTTGCATTAAACAGGAGGAGTGAAATAGTTGCTTTTGCATTAAACAGGAGGAACAGAAGTTTTGTTAGCCGCCCAGAGAAGACTTTGGTCTAGATGGGCAGGGTATAAATTAAATTAATTAATTAATTAATTAAATAGACATGTTGAGAAAGCCATGTTTCAAAACAAAAATTAGAACATTGAGTACATTACTTTTAAAACATTTTGTGGGTGCATCGCTTGCCTCCTCCAATTTAATGCAAAAGCTGCAGTTTTAACATTAAAATTTTAATGTTATTTCTAAGCTTGGGTTCCGTCATAAGCCAGATGTGTTTTGGCCTTTGCCTCTCAGAATCCTCCAGCCAGCAAAAGCCCCCAACATCTGGATGGAACCAAACTGTGGACAACTGTATTATGACAACTGTTGTGTTGTGGGTTCCTTGAAGACAGGGCTTTAATTGTACAAATGTTGTGCCTTCTCTGGTAGGAATTCTGGAAGGAGTCCAGACCCCTTGAGTCTTGATCTTGCACCCCTTCCCATGAATTCCTCAAATTTCATCCAATCTTTTTTCTACCTTTTCCTACCTGGAATGTAAAAAAGATCGTGTTGCTGTAAAATGCTCTTGATGGGAGCACTGAGGCAAGCCTTCTAGAAACAACTTGATTCTAACATTGCTTGGGGTCAGTTTTCTACAGCCTTATTCTGTTCCTCAAGATGCAATCACACATTAAAAGAAATCAATAAATCAATGGCAATCATTCAGTGAAAAATAATCTGTTAGCATTTTATACTGTGCCTTAAAAATCCATGTAACACTACAGAGTTATGAGTGATGATGATAGTACAAGGTAAATAATATATTTTTAATTGTCATGATTAAAATGGAGATGTTGAGCTGAATCTCTGGGTTGTGTTGCATTGTTTCCTCTTTGTGCCATGTTTACTTTTGGGTTAGCTCATTTGACTAGCCTGACGAGTAAAGGAAGTAAATCGGCAGCACTTACGATGGTTTTGTCCTGCGGTGAACATCAAACTCAAAAGACATTTTGCGTGGGATATTGCTGGATCACAGTTTGGATTATGATGGTCTAGATTAAGGTACTTAAAAACTAAGTCATCGAGTAGGCTTTCTCTGAGTAGACAAGAAGAAAAAGTGGACTCTTAATAGCAGCCAAGCAGGACTTCAAATTGAAGGAAACACCTACTCTTAGCTAGTATGTAATAATATTATTAATTTGACTTCAATTTGGTTCCAATTGGCTCTGCTTAGTGGGTTTGCTAAAGTTTCACCCCGATTCCCAGATGGAGGACTCCAGGTTTCTTGTGTTCTCCACCCACAACAAAATGTATAGTTCCAAAAGAAAGCCCTGTGGAATATCGACCACCTCCTGAGCTGTCACTTGAAAACCACGCCTCTTCTGCCGACGGTGCCTTTTCTAACTTGCATCTAAGAAACAAGCCTGGCATAACCATCTGCCATGAACTTTGGGGGACTATAAATTCTCTGCACTAACAACAAGGCACTGATGCATGCCTGAAGAAGTGGGCTTTGATCCACGAAAGCTGGCAGATTGTATGATTTTTTTTTAATGGTCTAATAAAAGTCCTGCTCCTGCCTGGCATTGTTCTATGGAGGAGTTTACCCAGCTTCATGTATGCGTGTGGTCCTCCAGATGTTCTTTTTTTAAAAAATTATAACTTCTATATAATCATCATCATAGAGCTACAGAGCTGGAAGGGACCCTCTCAGATCATCGAGTCCAGCCAATGTCAAGGAGGCCGAGCGGGGAATTGAACTCCCAACCTCCGGCTCCACAGCCAGAGACTTAAACCGCCGAGCTATCGAGCAGTCCTATGATCTCTAATTATTAGGTATGCTGGCTAGTATCTATGGGCAAAACATATGGAGGCTTCCAGTGGTCTAAAGGTTGTCTAGAGGTGGTTAAAGGCACATGTTAGATAGGATGGCTATGTGGTAATGATGAGGTGACAACTATCATTCTGTGGTACATTTGCCCAAGAAGAAACTCATAGGTCTGGAAACCTGCAAATGATTGTGTTGTGAGGAAAAACAGAAGGCTGAAGAGCTGGAACACAGGGAAATATATTAGTTTTGGCCTTCCCGAACCAACAGGATCCATCTATGGAAATGCTGATAAAATTTGTGTACCAGAGTACACAGAAAGGGAAAGCGAAATGATTATTAAGTTTGGAAGATGATTCATGTTTTCCTTCATGCCCATATTTCCAGTCAGAGGGTCAAAATACAGGTAGGTCTACCTGTATTAATCGGTTTTTCCTTCCCACATAAGACACTTAAGCAATCAGACCTTTTGATGACCAGTCATGAAACAATGTGCATTAAATGCAGATAGGTAGGTGAGGAAAACCACGTGTTAGGACAATCGGACGTCATTCACCCTTGAAGGAAGCACCTCTTCTAAAAACATGATAAACATGCTGTCTAGCTTGCCCTCAGAGGCCTTAAAGCAAACGGTGTTGATCCTCCATGAGTCTTTTGGGATGAACACTCTAACTCTGCTTCCCCTGCTGCTTCCCCTCTAAAAATACGAGGTGGCCTTGAGCATGCCCAAGTATACCAGAGAGAAAAAACAAGATGGAAGCCATGCCACATTCCAGGGATGTGGAAGATGAGAGGTTTTGGATGCTGCAGTTCCCCTTCTCCACAGATCGAGAGGGAGATCTGTGGGCAAAAGGGATCTCCTCACAGGAGGAATGCAAAGGTCTGCCTCCACTCTTCGGCCTTGAAGTCCCTCCCCAAATTCATGTGGCATTTCTAGGACATGTTCCCCTTTCCGAGGCCCTAATCTAGCTTTCCGTAACCTGGTAGCCTTCAAATGTGTCAGAGGTCAAATGAGGTATTGCCTCATTTCCATACATTTCATGTCTCCTGGCGGGATTCTTATTGGATTGGGTAAAGTTGAGACCTGCAGAATTTCACAATGGTGTTGGACCCTGGCCGACCACACCGTGTGCCCAAACTGCCTGCTGGGTATGATTTCTGCCCTGGCCCGTATTGCGCAACTTTGAGTTACGCAGGCGCAGCTAAGCGACAGGATTTGGGCTTCCGATTTGTGTCTCTGATGTAAGAAAGATCACAAACTTTATCTGTGAATTCCACCCCATGGCAAGACCAACTGCAGATCTGTTTTTTTTTTCACCCACATGTGGGAGAGAAGAATTTCTATACACATCAGATGTGAATGGGCAAAATCAAATCAAATCACACTATTCTCCTCAGGCAGGAATATGGTATAATGTATGCAGGAAAAAATAGTTTGCCATTTTCAGGTAAGGACATTACTCTTTTACAGTACTGTGTGTTGTGTGTATTTTCAGGGGTCCTTTTTCAGTGTGGAATTGTAGGGTTTTCTTCTCCCGCCTCTTCTCCTTCCACCTTTGGCCACCTGACCCACTTCCTACCCCACAAAAAAGTTCCAAGAAGTCTACAAGAAGGCAGACAACGCAGAAGACGCCTAACTCTATTCAAAAGAGTCCATATTGTTTTTTCTCGTTTTGCTGTTTCCATTTGGGCATCTGGTAGAATTCCTCTTTACTCTTCCCAAAGATGTCATGGAAATCTTCGTCGGACAGGTAGTACTGAAAAGAATGGGAGAGGGAAAAAAAAAAGAGAGAAATGAGGTGTGTAGGTGTGTTCAATCCACACTTCCTTAAACTGAACTCAGGTCATTTCGCCTAATTTAACATGATAAATGTAATCCTTGCAATGCTTGATTAGGAATAAGTGCAAAACCATTGTGGAAACCGCATACAGGGTAGCAGGCGAGACATCAGGAGGGGGTCAGTTCACAATTGAATGCAAGATTACCTAATTTGCACCCTTCAGAACAGAGTGTACATCCTAACAGCACCGGCAATGAGGAATTCACACATTTTTATGAGGCTCTACTGTCACTTGCACAACAGAAATTAGTTTGTGGAGTGGACCCTACTGAAAATCGCACATAAAAATGTATGGTGAGGTTTTTTTTTGTAAGCCCATAAGAGTATTTGCCATCTTGGAAATCTGTTGCTTAGAATTAATTGTATAATTGCATTTTATATGCTATTTTAACATGTTTTAACTTGTGTAATCCACCCCGAGTAGACGTTGTCTAGAGGGGCAGGATAAAAATTGAATAAATAAACAAACAAACAAACAAAATATTTAAAAAGCTGTTTTAACAAATGGACACAAAAATGTATGCTTTAAAAATTGGTGTCAGAAATACACGCCGTTTTGCAGAGAAACAGCCTGCAGTGTTCCAGGGCCCTGAGCAAATTCTGAGGTCGAAATTCTGGCACCTTCATGGGCCCAACACGGATCTGAACCTCCCTAATGCTCACAGCTGCCTGCTCTTCACATTTTTCAGATACAACCTGGGGTCCTTCTGTTTTTTTTCCCCATGAGCAGCCAATGTTGGTCCTAGGAGATGCAGCTACTGCTCTTAGACAAGAGGCCTCTTCAAGGCTTGCTCTGTCTGTTCTGGTTTTCATAAGCAGCCTTATCCCAAGACAGGCCAGTGATCCATCTATCGGAATTGCTGCAGATCAAAAGCTGAATATGAGCCAACCGTGTGATACGTCTGCAGACAAGGCAAATGCTGTTTTAGGACCCAGTAACAGAAATACAGGCTCCAAATCCCATAGTCCCTTTCTATTCAGCACTTTTTAGGCTTCATCTTGAGCCATTTTTCAGATACCACCTGGGGTCCTTCTGTTTTTTTTCCCCATGAGCAGCCAATGTTGGTCCTAGGAGATGCAGCTACTGCTCTTAGACAAGAGGCCTCCTCAAGGCTCGCTCTGTCTGTTCTGGTCTTCAAATACTTGAAAGAGAATCCTCCAGAGGAACGTCAGGATCTGTTCCCCATCTTCCCAAGACTGAAAGAACTGGGCCTGTTTAGCCTTGAGAAAAGAAGACTTATGGGGAGATAGGAGAGCACTTTTCAAATACTTGAAAGAGAGTCCTCCAGAGGAAGGTCAGGATCTGTTCCCCATCTTCCTAGACTGCAGGACACGTCATCATGGGCTGAAGCAACCAGAAGCCAGATTTTGGTTATCAAGAAAAAATTCTTAACTGTTAGAGCAGTACAACAATGGAACCCAAGACCTCGAGAGGTAGTGAGCGCTCCAATGTTGAAGGCATTGGAGTGAAAACTGGACCACTTCCATCAAATCTGCTTTGATTTGGATTCTTGCCTTGAGCCGGGGGTTGGACTTGATGACCTTCTAGGCCCCCTTCCAATTCCATTATTCTGTGATCTAGGCTAATAAGGGCAGCTCTGACTGGCAGCAGGGAACGCAGGCACGATTCCTTCCCACCCTCCTATCCATTGCCAACCTCTGTAGTGTTCCTTCGCAGTCTCTCACCCGAAGAATTGCAGCCCAAAAACATGAACATTTGAACGCCCTGACACCACCCAAAAACACCCACCAAGGATCTCTTGAATCCTTCCAGAAGCTTCAGACAATCATCACTCTCAGAGAGTTGTCCATGGAAGAGTTTGACTGCCAGGTAGTTTGCTATTTGCTCCATCCATTACTAGGACAATGACTAGAACCGCTACCCAAGTCCAAAACCTCAACGGTCAATCTTGAGTTTCTGCTTGACCTAAATCTGAACTTTGGAGCAATTATCTCCAGTTCAAAGGGCCTCTGGAAATTATACTTCTCATGTCCGTGCGTGCTCATAGTACCACCTAGTGGATAAAGAAAACAGAGGGATGTTTGTTGTAGGTTTTTTGGGCTGTTCCATGTCTTAAGAACACGGCCAAACAGCCCGGAAAACCTACAATGACCATCGGATCCTGGCCGTGAAAGCCTTCGAGAAGACATTAAAACAGAGGAACCTTACAGAAAAACAAGCTCTCGCATTTCAAGCAAGAAGAGCCGGCCCTGGTATCAGGCAGCATGAAGCAGATGCTTCAAAGAGGAGATTTTAGGGGGTCAAGAAAAAGCAGCCGTTCCTGCTGCTGGAGACTTTGATTGCTGAGGATGGAGATGCGGTCCCATTATAGGAGATGGACACCACCTCACCTCTTTCTTGGTGGGATCCAGACCTTCTGGTAGTTCATCCACCGTCTTGTTGATCAGCATTTCTCTGGGAAAACTACCATCCCCGCTGGTCTGTAGAAGAGGGGTGTTGCTGTTATAGCTGTTGTTGTTGTTGTTGCTGCTGCTGACGGCTGGATCTGTTTGGGGAGGCTGAAAACTTATTCCAGGCCCTGAAACTTGTTGTTGTTGTTGTTGCTGCTGCTGCTGACAGCTGGATCTGTTTGGGGAGGCTGGAAACTCGTTCCAGTCCCTGAAACCTCTGGATGGGTGAGGGCAGGCTTGGTACTGGCATTCCTATTGTTCAAGTTGGCATTTTTCAAATCCTGTCGCCAAAATGATAAAAAAAAATGTGTAAAGTTCACATGTGACAAAACGGGAAATCTGGATGGGGAATCCTTGTTCACCTCCTTATTCTCCCATACACATTTTACCAATCTCAACTTCTTTTAAGGCAGAATATGAAGAATTTTTGGCAAATTCTTCCAAAACAAAGCGAAAGTCTTTCCTATTCGTGCTAAGGGTGCAATTTATTCCCAGTCTGGAGAGGATTAGAGGGTTCTGGTTTGCGGGGGGGGGGGGGGGGGGGTTTGGACTACAGCTGCCAGGGGGGCATTATGGGAGCTGTAGTCCCGAAAACACAAATCCACCTATCTCTAAAGAAGACTTATCTGTGCCTGCCTGTTGTTCCAGATGAGAAGCCTTTCAAAAAGACAAGGTGGCAACCCTGATTTAGCAACAAGAAATTTTTAAATTTTTGGTAAATTCTCCAGACAAGGTGGCAACCCTGATTTAGCAACATAAGGCAGAATTTTTAGAACAGCTGTGGATTCAAAGCCCTGGTAAAAGGTGGGGAACTCTGTCATCTTTATTTTCTCCCCCATTCTGTTTAGTTTAATCTCATGATTCTTTCCACCTCTTATATGAGAAGAAATTTTTAAATTTTTGGTAAATTCTCCAAAAGTTTACATGTCCTCAGCCAAGTGTCAGCTTCCTAGGAAAGAGTTCTTCACGATGAATATTATTTTACATTGATTTTTCTTCCCCTGCGATGATTTTGACGGAGACCTAGCTGTCCTGCAATGATTTTTAGCACCCTGCCGTCCAACCCTCTTTCTCACCCAGCCTTATGGGGTCTACTCTGCAAGGAGCTTGGTTTAGCAAGAGTTTTCCTGTACGGTTAGGGAGTCCATAAATGTTGGTTGGACTTGCATAGCCATCTCTATCTTTTTCCTAGTAGGCTAAAAGGATCCACTCTTTTATTTCCTCATTAGCAGGAAATAGCAGGAAAATTTTCTTTGTTACTTATTCCCAGGGTTTTAAGGATCTAAGAAGACTGATCATGTCAACATGCCTTTGGCTTTCTCCAGACGATCCCCAGGATGAAGCCATCAAAAAAGAATCAAAACTCCCTCCGTTTGAGGAAGCAGTGACTTCTGTTCCCGCACTTACTCACCACTGTGATCTCTGATATAGCAGAGACATTGCCTAGGCTTCGCTTCATCTCCTCATAGGTCATGCCATCCTAAGAAGAAAGAAAACCAGAGAGATCATATCTGTAAGGAAGTTGCTCTCAGTTACCCCCACAAGGCAAAATAATTTACCATCTTCCTGTCCCAAACACGTTGGTCTCAAATAATTTTTGGAAGCTAAGCAGGATCAGACCCCAAAATTCAATGGAAAGAATTTGAAATATATATTTTTTTCTTTATAGGAACAAAATGTGGAGGAAAGCTAAGCTGAATGATTTTTGCTTTTCTACTTTTAAAATTGTTGTTCCTGCCCTCATGGTAAATTACGAAACACAAATGTTTTTTTTTTAAACCAAGTAAACCAAAGGAACAACATAGTAACAAGCTCTTTCAAAAAACAAATATCCAAAACAAAACCCTACCCTTTGAGCTATCAAAATACATATTTCCATTAAAAGACAGTCATTAAATAGAAGAAAGAAAATTAGAAAAAAATGAGGAATTGAAGAAGAGGCAAAAGTCAGTAGAAGCATAAAGGATACAAAAATAGAAAAGCAATACAGTGATGCCTTGCAAGACAAATGCCTCACACAATAAAAAACTCGCAAGACGAAAGCGTTTTGCGATTTTTTTTTTTGGTGACTCGCAAGATGAATTTTTCTATGGCAATGCTTCAGAAGATGAATTTTTTCCTTTTCCTTTTGGTTTGTTTTAAATCACACAACTGTTAGTACCGCGCTTCGCAAGATGAAATTTTTGCAATACGACATGACTTGCGGAACGAATTCATTTCGTCTTGTGAGGCATCACTGTATGTACTTTTTGTTGTTGTTTGGGTTTCCATACACAGCAAATGCATCAACTACATTATGGCCATGAGATGCAATAATTATAATCTGCCATTTTAGCTCTCTACAAAGCGTGTCTTCGGTTTACGGTCAACCGCTGCCAATTTTGCAACGAAATGGTCAAGATCAGACAGCAGACACCGAGTTTCAGCCTCCTTATGGGCCAAAGAGCAATTGTTGCTCCGCTTAAAAACAGGCTGCCCGTCTACGTTCCCTGTCCAAAAAAGAAAGTCTTATTTCACAGTCACTTACGCTCCACTTGTACGGGTCCCAAGCCGCAAACCAACCGGTGAAATTGAGCGGCTCGTGACCTTGCTTCACCATGATGATGGGTGTCGCAACATCGCGTCCTGCTGGATGGGTCTTCAGGTACTCCTTGGCGGAGGCAATGGACTCCGTCTTTTCATAGCTGTTGGCCGACTTGCCAAGCCACAGAAAAATCTGCAAGAAGGGACGGGAGATGGGGAAGTGGAAGAAATAGCCCAGGCATTCCAGAAAAGGGGACAGTATTTCAAATATTGCTTTCTGTCTTGGCCCTTCATGCATCCGGGAAGTGATGGATCCAGTTCACAGCTAAACAGCCACTAGATGGCGCTGGGTTTTATTTTTGACTTTCACGTTGGAGGCCGCTGTTTATAAGAGTTGTTTTATTATATAAAGCAGCTAGAGAAACAGGAAATTTGCACCAAAGAAGACACCAGGCTGTGTGTGTTTATACAGAACTACTAACCAGCTGCCTGTTCTGCTGCATTTTAAAAAAGAAAACAGGGCTTCTCTTCTAGAGAACGATAGCATGTCTACCTGTTTCCTTCTGTGTCCTGAAGCACACCTAATCTCAGGCAGTGGATGATGCTCATTGTGGCCAGAAGTCAGTGAGATTCTTGATTCAAACCCCAGAACAAAATTAGATTAATTTTAAAAAAAATTTTTTTTTTAAAAGAAACATATTTTCCCATCTTGGTACTCTTTCCTCTAACTAATTGTATTAATTAATATACCAACTGTATTTTATGATTATCTATATTTTATATTGACTTTTTATGCTGTAAGCCGCCCTGAGTAGACATGGTCTAGAGGGGCAGGGTATAAATTTAATTAATTAATTAATT